GATAGGAAGGTAAATTACGTGACAAAGAATGGTTGAAATAACATAAATTATCTGAAATAGTTGATGAAATCAGAAGTGATTCTATTACTTTAATTAGAATATAAGTAATGAGCATATTTATCAACTTTTGTAAATGTAACATCTGTCTTACAATTTAAATGAGTTTAATTTATTGTCTTTGGGGACACAAACGGGGTGTGACTGTTTATAATTGTGTTTATAAACTGAACAACATAAGGGTCATTTTCTGCTTAGTAACAACACGTGCTATTTTGTTGATTTCATATATTTTTTGATAAATTATACATGATAAATGTTAATCATATAACAAAAGAATGGTTGAAATGCTATAAATTATATGATATCGAGTTAGTGATAGCACAAATCATTCTCACATATTTCTCCTATATCATTCTAGAGATATGGATGTGCATGATTGCTTATATGTAAATGATAACACTTGTTCCATTTTCATAGACCTTTTTATTTTAATAACGGGACACGTTCTTTCTTAGGGATAAGTATATTTATAAACATAACAACACTTTTATCATTTTCATAAACATTTTCATCTTGGTAACGATGTTTGTTCTGTTCTCATGAAAGTTCGTAACAAACACAATGATATTTGTGTCGTTCTTATCTCCCTTTTATAAGTTTAGTAACGATACCTGTGTCATTCACATAGATGCTTATATTTCTATTGTCACATGTGTCATTATCATGGAATAACAATAAACTAAAAATAAATGTATAAATGAAATGCAAACATTTAACTTAAAAGACATCAACAAAAATCTAGGAAAAATCAAAATAACGATACTTGTTGGATGTCGTAGTATTATAAAAATCAAAATGTAGAAAAAATCAACAGAACAGCACAAATATCGTTTTTGAGATGACACAACCCTTGTGCTATTATGTGTGTAAACACGAGTATAGGCCACCACGTCTTATCTATAACCTGAGACCCAATAAATGGAACCCATTGATGTTATTTATAACATGGTCAAACTTTCTATGTTACATATGTTAGGAAGCTTACTATTAAAAGCTGTTTTGTTAAAAAAAAATCGAATATAGGTGAAAATCTCGAAATGACACAAGTGTCGTTACTGGGCATGAAAATGACACTTATGTACTGTTACGTGTATAAACAGTCACTGCCTATTCGTTGTCTAAAAAATAATAAGTGAAACTTATTTATGTTTAACATGCACATGATACGTACAAAAAGTTGAGAGATATGTTTATTAACTTAATTGATACATATGAGTAGGACAACTTATACTTTCACCATTTCAATAATATAAAAGCTATGTTATTTGAATCGTTCCTGACAAGTCAATCCTTCTGTGTTGTATATGTTATGGAGTCCATAAGGTCATTTCGTTGAAAAAAATCAAATTATAGCAGATAACGACTATAGTGTAGTTTTGCGTTGCAGATAATGATTGGAGTGGCGTTTTACATTTTCGATAGCATTTGGAGTGTTATTATTATCCAATGATTGTAGACAACAACAAAAAAAAAATACATTAAATATGAAAACAATACCAACTAAATATTATTTAATAATAAAAATACAACCTACATGAGATTTTTAAGAATATCTTTCCTCTTTCTTCAAATGTAAATTTGATTTTCCAATGTAGCCAAATTCTTGTTCAAATACTCAAAAAATAACCAAAAATAAATAAAGAACATGATTAATGATAGCAAAAATGGCGACTTAAGAAAAGACAATAGGTGATTATAATTTTGAGGACCTAAAATTGAATAAAAGGAAAATAGAGGGAAGATGTTATTTAAAAAAATAGAAATAATAGAAACTAGGATTCTACAATGAATTTGGAGGAAAAATGACAAGATAAAGTGAGGAAAATTGGAGGTTTTTTGTTTCACCATGGCCACCCAACTTTATATTTAATATCACCATGATCACCCAATTTGATTTAGTTTAATCATGGTTACCCAATTTTATATAATGTTTCATCATAGCCACCTAATTTCATATAATATTTCACCGTGACCACCCACTTTTATTTTTACCATTTTTACTAATTTTAAAAGGGATAAAACAGTAACTTTGTACTAATAAAAAATAAATTAAAAAATAAAAGTTTTTTAATTATAAAATAATTTTTTATTTTATTTTATTTTTCTGAGTAACTTTAAAAAAAAAAAAAGTTATTATTATTTTTCTAAAGAGCTTTATTTAAATAACTTTTTATTTTATATTATTTCCCGAGTAACTTTTTTTTAAATAAGTTTTTATTTTATTTTAAAAACATTTTTAAATGAGTTTTTATTTATTTTTTCTAAGTAAATTTTTTTAAAACAAGTTTTTATTTTATTTTTTTTAAGTAACTCTTTTTTAAATAAGTTTTTATTTTATTTTTTAAAATAAGTTTTTATTTTTATTTTATTTTTTAAAATTTATTTTATATATTTAATGCAAAATTACCATTTTTCATCTTTTAAAATTAGTGAAAATGGTGAAAAAAAAATTGGGTGGAAATGACAAAACGTCATATAAAATTGGATGATCATGATGAAACGTTATATGATATTGGGTGATTATGATGAAATAAATTAAATTTGGTGGTCATAGTGACACTAAGGGTGTGTTTGATACACCAAAATTTTCCATGAAAAATGGAAAATCAATTCCAATTCCATGTTTTTACTTGTTTGACGTCTCTATTTTTTCATGGAATTCATTTTCTAGCTTTTTATGCCACCTAGGATTTTTCTTGCTTTTCAAGGAATTCTCAGTTACTATAGAACTTTTTTATTTTTTTTTCGAATTTTTATTGAGTAATGAAAACAAATTCTAAGAATTACTGTAAAAAAATATTTCTCTTTAGCTGTCAATTTTCATGTAAAACAAAGTCAACCAAATACAAAAATAGATGATTTTCTTGAATTTTTTTTGTTGGTAATGGAAACAAATTTTATCCCCAATACTAGTAAATTCTATCCCTTTAATCAACAATTTTAATGTAAAATAAAGTTAAATGAACATCAAAAAATATTTTTATTTCTACATTTTCAGTGAAAAATTATATCAATTAAACACAATAATTTACAATTCTCATGAAAATAATTTTTAGGCAATTCAATTCCCTGAAATTCATTTTCTTTTCACCCAAATTCTATCTTCGTAATCAAACGGACCTTAAGTATAAAATTGGAGGCCACAATGAAAAAAAATTAAATTGAGTGGCCACGATAACACCAAATATAAAGTTGTATAGCCATTGATGAATTTAACCCGTTTTGTAAAGGTACTAAAGACTACTAGTTGATTATAAGTTTGTCCAGCAATAGGAATATCACTAATTTAGGTTATTAGTATTAAGAACTTAAATTATTTCATAAGACGAATTTTAATACACAACTTAAAAACGTGGGGCATCAATTTTTTGTTCTCCAAATCCTTCAAATTCGTGGAAGAGACCCAACAATTCAAGTTCTTTAGAAATCAGGTTATTAGAAAATTATTTTAAGTATTATATTTTCATAATTTAAGTAACTGGAAATTAAACTTAGGGAAGAGTTCACATTTCAAACGTTAAGTTTACCTCAATTCAAGAATCAGATAGATACTTTTAAAATTCAAAAATCATGTATATATTTAATTAATTAAAATTATTTATTAAATATAGATAATAAAGTCACAATTACACGATTAATGGTTACATATTCATAGTAATAGGTCACATATTTATTTACTGGTCACATATCGACAAATTAAATGATCACATGATTATTTTGTAGTCACAAATCAAAAATTTTGTAGGTCACATTTTATTTCGAAATCACGGATCATTCAAATTACATGTCAGATATGTCATAATTTATCGATCACAAATTATTTTGGCCACAATTATCAAATTTTAAGTTCGAGTTGGTCACATGTAACCAAATAGTTGGTCACGGATCAAATACTAGTTTATATTTCATGCCACTTTTCACAACACTCACCTCGTCCCCGTCATCAGCCACCATCTCGGCGTTGACACTACAATCTACCACCACCATCAGTTCTACTACCAACAAGAACCACCCAATTCCTCCCACACAACCAAAACAAGACCACCACCACCACCACCACCACTCAAGATCCACCTCCACCGCCACTAGAAACCACCACGACCGTCGCCACCTCCACAGTCACACAATCATCGCCACCACCAAAACAGTCAAACCACAATTTCACCACCAACACCACAAAAACATACCTTGTCGCACAACCACTAACAAAACTGCCACTTCCAGATCCTACCAACAAAAGCCACCACACTACAAGGTCCATAACTATAAAAAAAAAGAAAAAAAAAACTAGGGCTCCGGCGGTAATGGACGAGGCTGCCGTTGCTGAAAATCGGATCGGTGCTCACAGCTGAAAACCATAGCAGCCTCCACCACCACCATTGCTGAAAATCGAACCGGTGCTCACATTCGCGAGTCTAAGAAAAGGAGGCGTCGCGCCCCTTGCAGCAGTGCCGGTCTTGTACAGAATCGACGCATCAGAGAGTCACCGCCACGGTGGCGACGTCGTGAACATCGTCGGTGATGAAACTCCTATTGTGATTTCAGAATTGTTATAGAGAGAAGAGAGAGTTTGTAGAGTGAGAAGGAGGAGACGGGATTGAATTGGGGAAATGATTAGGGTTTTTAATTGGGTGGATTAACTATATATAATACCTAATTTTTGCATAAATAAATTTTACCTTTGAATTTAAATGTTTAAGTACCTGATATTATGCAATTTCCACTTAAACTTGTGTTTTCTCTGTCCAAACCATTGTACAAATAATCTAGTAAAACTCACTCACCTTTTTTAGCGTATCATAGAGAGGAGCAGGGCCGGTTCTGGGTGGCATTAAGCCTCAAGTTATAATGGGCCTCAAAAAAATTTTTGAAAGTCCAAAAATAATTAGGGAAACTTTTCATATACGTAAAAAAAAATAAAAAAAAAATGATGAATTTAACCCAAAAAGAAAAAGACGATACGTTAAACCTCTCCAGAAGCCAGCATTCCGTCCCCACCACCGCCGCCGGCTCCGTCCCAATTCCCAACTGTCGCGGCGCTCCACAATCTCCTCGGCCACGTCGTTTCTTCTCTCTCTGTCAGTGTTAGTGCGTGCTAACATCACAATGGGGAAGCAAGGGTTTGCTCGTAAACAAGGTAGATTTTTTTTACTCTAATTGCCAAATATTTCTGGGTTTTTCCTCTAATAGCCATTAATTTTTCAATTATTTTTCCCTAGAGAAGTTTACTAAAAATTTAACTTCGTACAGCCATTTATATGAAAGTTGATAGCAAAGAGATGCTATATATATATTTTTAATATTATGGAACAGGGTTTAAGAGGCTGTCTAAAGCAGATACATTATCAAAGGAAGAAAATTTAAGACGAAATCGCCGTGCCAATGACGAAAAGTTCACACCAAGCTCCTCTCAGAGTGACGACTCAGGTAAGTTGATTTACATGATTACTCTAGTTGTGTTTGACGTGAACATTTAAATTTCTTTATTTTTGTCATTTCACGTATCTCTTCAAGTTTTGTTTTCTGTTTGCATATGCTAAAAAAACTAGCAAGCACAATTTTTTTGGGAACTAAATGAACACATTGTCAAGGTTGGGCTCCAATTTCAGCTCCTCCTTATCCATAACTGGCCGGAAGTTGATCTCAGCTGAGTGTTAACCACTTAAATGAAGAAAAACAGAAATTGGGGTGGGAAAAAAGATGTAAAATTGAGAAGAGATGAGAGATGAAATGAATTGAAGAATCAATCCACCATTAACTGAAATTGCATAACAGAATTCGACACCAAATCCACTGCACATGGATATAGATATACCACTAACAATTGAAAGTCGTGCTTTCAGAATTAAAGCGTAAAACTTTTTTTGCTTTTCTGTAAAAACCAACACAAATAAAATAGTAAAACGACACGTTCCATTTAAAGTAAAACGATGCAGTTTTCATTTTCAAACTTGGTTAAGATGGTTGCTTCCCTGCTTCTCTTCGAAGCTGATTTCCTTCTTCTTCTTCTTTGCTGATCTCTTTCCTCTCTTACCCCAGCTTCCTCCATAACACACATACATGCCGAAGTACATGAAATTGATCGTGCAAGGAAACATACGAGGTTATTATATAGATATCCTGTGCTATGTTTCGTACACAAATGCATATGAAAGGACATCTTTAGAGGAGCAATCTTATTTGAACTTTTTTTTTTTTTGACCATGGGTGTCCGGGCCAGTTTACGCGCACCTTTACTAATTTCACTGGGCAGCAATCTTATTTGAACTTGATATGGACAGGTGGGGGTTTCTGATTTATAAGTTATAAAAAATGATATTGAGAAACACTCAAAAATGGGGAAAGGAAAGAGTAATGAAGTTCCAAAGTAATATAACAGTTCTAGATCAAACAAAATTCGATATGGCTTCAAGTTGGTAAACACCAAAATTGCTTTAACACTTTCTCTCTTAACATGCATGGATGAATGTATGAATAATTTGATTTTTAACATAGGGGACTTGTTGGAGGAGCACAAAGATGTAGCTTCTGAAGATGAAGAATCAGGAAAAATTGTTTATAGAGAGCCAAGTATGTATGACAATTTGTTGAAGACATTGGGGTCTCGAAATGAAACTGTTGCCAATGCTTTGAGAAGAAGGTAAGTGATTTCTCTGACTGAATATTCCTTAACCAGTGTCTTGTTTTAAGTGTTTTTGAGTTGTGTGGTCAAGTGTTGCATTTTGAAATGCATATTAGGTTTGAAGATGGACAATTACATGAATTAGAAATCCACATATCTCAACTTCACACGTTTAAACTTTCCATGGTTATGAGAAGGTTTTGTGAAAAAAGGCACAAGTAATTTTCACTCATTTTAAAAAATCTATAAATAAATATGTCATAAATTAATTAAAAAATGTGTATAAGTCAGCAAATTTGACTGGTTGGCAAAGGAAATCAAATGCTTTATCAGCATATACATGGACATCTTTGTCTATGAGATCGACAGAAATCATAAATATTGACCAAGATCACGAAGATCGACGAAGATTATGACTTAACATAATTATGTTTATAATTGTATTTAAAATGTTTAGGTTGATTATATCCATCATATTTAGATTGTACTTATTCGTATATAATGTAAGGAATCCCTATGGAAAAATCATTCAGTCATAAAGTGTCATGATATCAGAGCCCGATGGACTTATGCCAAATTCTCGATTTTGTTTGAGCATAACTTAGCCTCTCAGGTGTGGGTTTCTTGTGGTGGTCCAAGGTTGACACAATATTTGTCAACATGTGACTCTTGTAATGGTCGACGGTTGACAGAATTTTTGTCAACATGTGACTCTTGGGTGGTTGACGGTTGATAGAATTTTTGTCAATTGGTGACTCTTGGGTGCGTCCTACTCATTGCTTGAGGTTTTTAAATTTTTTTGGGTTGTTTTGATTCTAAGATTCTGGGTCGACCGAGCTTTGGTCAATGGTTTCATCAGTTGGCTTCATTCATCATTTCGGGTTGGAGAAGTTCAATTTCTGGTAACATTTTGTTGATTTACAGATTATATTCTGGTGATTTCTGGTAATTTATTCCTCCTCTGGGGATTTCAAGATCAGATTAGGGGATTTAACGATCTTCTGGTTCTGCGTGAGAAGAAACAACTGGGCTGGGCTTCTATTTTGTTGTGGGTTTTGAGTTGGCTTTTACTATTGATTAGTTGGGCCTTTTTGATGCGGGCCTTACTATTTGGATTCTAAATAGAGGAAAGGGAACCCCAATTTCACAAATTGAGGAAAAATAACAAATTATGGGAGGGAAGTGCCCGCACTGGAGCGTAGAGTGCTGCTACTCTCACAAAACTGCTTGACGCACCAAATTTCTTCTTAAAGTCGACGATGCTGTTTATGATGAGCTTCATAAAGCAGATGGAGATAGGAAACCCTTGCTTGTTGAAGACCTCACCGGAATAGGCCAATATTATTGTCTACACTGCGATCGGTATTTTGCTAACGTGACCATGAGGGAAGAACATTTCAAGACTAAAAAGCATAGGAGGCGTGTGAAGCAAATGACGAGGCATGCACCTGACACACAACTTGATGCTGAAATAGCAGTTGGGATGGGCATGTCGAATATGGTTGATGAAGCAAGTGGAAGCGGCGACAAACAAAGAAGTTGGCTGGAGTGGAGATGGCAACTGGATTTGTAGTGGCGGGTTACTATTTGGTCTGGGGTTTGAGAAGAAGATGGGGAGTTGAGAAAAGGGGCTGGTTTATGTTTGTTTGTTGGGATTTAAAATGTTTTGTGGTCGAAATTATGGAATAGGTTTGGGTTTTGTGTTACTGGAAATTAGGTAATGTTTATTCTGTGGATGTGTAAGGACAGTGGGCTTGGATAAACGGGCTAGGGCAGGTGAAAAATGGGCTGTTGTGGGGGGGGGGTTGGATTATTGGATGTTATGGACTTGGCTTTTAGTACTGGGCTGGTGTATAAGTGGGCTGGTATAGGGAGTGGATTCGGTTATTTTGGGTTAATGGGTTATTTTTTGTGGAATGTAGGCTGAATGTTGTGAATTGGTTTATGGATTATTGCAGTTGGGCATTTTAAGTTCTTTTGTACTTCATTCAATAAATTGATGCATTTTGATCATCCGGCATCAATTTGAGGGGTGTCAATGAGATCAACAGGGGTGTCAATGAAGATTATGACTTAACATAGTTATAAATAATTATATTTAAGTTGATTATATCTACCATATTTAGATTGTACTTCTTCCTATATAATGTAAGAAAAATCATTCGGTCGTTGTCGTCGCCTTCATCCTCCTCATCATCAACACATGTAAGGTCATTAGGTATCAAACAAATCCAATTTTGTAAAACTATATATGGCCAAGTTGGTTGGGAGGTATGAGGAGGAGGGACGCGAAGAGTGACACTAGGATATTTGTTAGGATATGCTGCAAAAATTCGACCTTTAAATAGCTTTTAGCCAGGACTAATAAATTCTTTGATTGAGGTGAAAATCCTCGTAAATATTCTAATGGGATTTTAAATCCAATGCTACAGAATTATCTATATATGTACTCTAGAATAGACTTTATTCAATTCGGTAGAAAGTTGGAAGAGGGCGAAATGGGGAGATAAGGATGGTCATGGAACTTGGCAGTGGAGAGGGACATGAGGTAGAGTGTTGATCAAAAGAAAATCCTGAACTTATGGATTTCAAATTGCTGCTTGCTTGGGAGTTTGAGATCTTAGAGATTCACGTTGACTAAATGATCTTGAATCCAAGTGGACTAAATGATCTAAACTTGCACTGTCAAATTTGGGTATTGAACAAAAGGGACGTGAGCAGCTGGAAGGATATTTCTTCAGTGTGTAAGAGAAGTTCTGTTTCCTTATTGAACTGATATTTGCTGATTTACAAAATTTGGAACATTTAGAACAAAAATGAGAATTTTCTTCCACGGTATAATAGTTTCTTATTGTCAAGTTCCTCAAAAAAATTTGTGTAAAAACACAAATTCACAACAGTGTTCTCGATACAAAGACCGAATTTCTCAAGATAGAAACTGTTATATTGATTTTTTCTTTATGACTTTATGTATTATTTATCCCTGTACAACTTGTAGTATTTTGGTTCATTTTTTCGTGAAACTATTGCATATAGTTAGCTAAAACATCACTGAATGCTTATATTGTGAGTAGGCAAATAGAAGGGAAAAGTGACACAGATGAAGATGTAGTTGGGGATATCGAATCTTCTAGCGAGTCTGAGGAACAGCATGATGGTGCGTTTACTATTAAATTTACGAAAGTTTTCTTAGTTTCTGCCTTTATGATATATCTATAATCATTTTTCCCTAATTTTCTCTGCGGGAGCCTTGATATTTCATATGACTATATTGACTGAAAGACAACATTGGCAAACAATATGGCATTGTCTATTGTAATAAGGGGTCTTTATGTTTATTACCTTGAGAAAAATAAGTGGTTCACTTCTTCAAGGAAGTGCATGTACTGTCAGCAGGGTTGTCTAAAATTTATTAATATAAGTTGCTTGCCATTTTGACTAAGAGGATGTCTACAAGCTGCTTTTTTTGACTGAGAAGATTCAAACTCTAATCTGTTCGTGAGGTCCTTATGTATTACCAAGAGTCAGTTTTGACTCTTATAATCTCACTCACTTTCTTAAATAATGTAGTACTTATAAGTTGCTTGCCTGTTGTCTAAGAGAATGTCTACAATCTGCTCTTTTTGACTGAGAAGATGTCACAATATAATCTTGTTCAAATTGTTCTCAAAAATTTTTCATAATGTCTTTGGTCATGAGCTCCTTACGTATTAGCAAGAGTCAACTTTAAATCTGTTCACTCACCATTCTTAAATATTGAAGTATTTATCATGCTTACTATCTACTCAGACCATATCCTACCAAAAGATAGAAAAAAGGCGGAAAAAACAAGAATACTTAATGGCTTTGTGAGTAAATGTACTACATTTAGTTTGTCTCAGATTTAGGTGTAGAACAAATTTCTATTATATCACATTGACCTGTCTTTGGTAATATATTAGATAAGCAATTCATGAAAACAAGATCATTATACCCTCTTTATCTTATGAGCTTGAGGATTGTAACTAATTGGCGACAACGGATAATGAATAAGAGTCGTGGACACTTTAAATACACTGTTAGTACACACATCAACTTTTATTGCCTTTCCTGTCTTTAGATTTGCTCATTTTAGAATTGTTTTCCTTTGGTATTTAAACAGTTTGGTTTGCTCGGCAGATATTGTCTATCGATCTGAATTCTTATTTTGGACATCATTGTTGTCCATTCTAACCCTCATTTCTTTCCTAGGTTCAGGAAATGATAAAGGGTCTCCCTGGAGTAACACTTTTGTGAAAGGATTAAAAGGTTCTGAAATGGTTGATGGTATGGAACTGTGTGAAGATGTTGTGATTGATGATGATGGACTATATGACACGGATGAAGAAAGTGATGTGAGAATGAGTGGTCAATCCATATCTGAGGCATCTGTGATCACAAGGTATTCTCAACTCACGTATATTACTACGCCCCCGTTTGAGCCTCATTATTTCTCATTACATTAAATTAAATTTTTTCTCTCTCCTACTTTTAACCACACAATTTTCAATAAAATAATATTACACGTAAATCAAAAACATTTCAACCACTCATTTTTCAAATAGAACACTATTCAAAACATTATAATGAGTAATAATGGGGCTCAAACGGGGTGTACATTTGCTTTTTATTTCTCAATATACTCTATCCAAATATGATAGACATAAAGAAATTATTTCTACTATTGCCTCAAATTGCCTTTAAAAATGTATCTCTTTTGCTTAGATGCTACCTCTTCAAGAGATCCAAAATAGCAGTAACAGAGCCCATATTGATTATACATTTGATCTTGGACTTAGGCTTTATAGTCCCAGTGGAAAGTATTACCTTGAAACTTTTTGAACATTTCCCTTTCTGCAATACAGCTTTGGATACAACTTATGCTCTTGAAATTCTAAAGTTCAAGAGAGGATAAGAGTACTTAATTGTTGTCTAAAGCTTCAATATCTTATATGGCTAGATCTCATGAGGTTTCCCGAAAAGAATTAACAATCGTGGTAAGTTAACCTAAGAATGAGCCTATAGATTTTAGGTTTTTGAGATATGCTGCGTGGATGAAGAACACCTTCTATTTTAGTTTCACGTCATGGTGTTAGCCTTCTTTTTTACATGATATCTGATTTAAAATGAGTTGAATGAATTTCATTATTCAAAACTCTGAAGAATGTGTTACAACATTTACACTATTACGCTTTGTACATCAGAGAGTCAACTCTTCGATTTCTTAAAATTAGTAGAAATAAAGTATATCCTGTATATTAAATAACTATTTGATTGTAACTACATATTTCTACGTCTAAATTGCTATACTGTCACAGTTGACTAGATTCCTTACACAGGGAACTTATACGGTTTCCAACACACGATGACATTTGTTCGATTCTTCAGTATTTCCTTTCCTAGATGACATATTTTTCTATTCATGGAGAAATACTTTGTTAAAATGGAAGGCTAAATACAATACAAATCTGGTACTATCATTTGTTATAACAGATCTGTACCGTATTTTTGTGAATATATTGAATTGAAAACTGAATTGAATTACAATGAAATGGTCATCTTTCGAGAGGCTGCCTCTCTCACTGTTGGTATACCCTAGTTTCTGCCTAAAACAAATGAAACCCTACCTCCTATTTATAGTTTGAAGCCTATACAATTTATTGTATTAAATCCCCATAATACCCCAACCCCCTACAACAGGAACTTGTGGGCACCTATCACATCATTTACTCGTCTGTCATTATGTTAAAACAGTTCCTTCCATTTCCGTCCTAAGTTTGCTGTCAGAAGAATGTCATGATTTCTTACATTGATAGCCTTACAATAACTTTCTAACCTACTTGAACTATGCTAAATTTTTTCCTTCTGCAGCTGATTGGCTGTAATCAAACTAAGAATGCACGCTTTCATGTTGTAGCCATACCACAGTTTTTAAAGAGATGGAATTTTGACTGTTCGTTGGTGGCATATTACTTTGGCCATGTATATCACACTATGGGCTTTCTTATACTGCTAAAACATACTTTGTTTTTCTTATTGGAAAGACGGGTTGCTTTGCTTTCCTATTCATTTGTTAACTTTTCAAATCAAATGTTTTCTCAGGGGTAAGATAAATAATAATTCAATTAGTAATAATATCAGTGAACCATGTAATATATCAGTGTGCAATTAACCCCCTGACAAAAAGTATATATTTTCTGTATTTCACTTGTAAGCAATATAACTTTACATTTGGTTGGCTTTTTGACTTTATGTTACTTAATACACAAGTTCTTTTAGTTGTTCTAACAAAGACCTCATAAAAAGTCAATAGAAACGTATACACTCATTGCAAGATTGTCTTCTTTTCCCACAGTACTTTTGCAAATCATTTGGATTACAAGTTGTCAAAAGAAGAGATTGACCACTTATTGATAAGGAAATGGAGCTATTCATGGAAGATGCCTGCTTTTAATATGTCAAAAACCTACTGGAGAGGAACAGGTGTATGCCCAGTTGAGGTCTGTTATGATGCCCCTTTCTACTTGATAAGTCTATTTTAGTTATATTGTCATGCAAATTACTGGATTTTATGTTCATTTAATTGGTCATATTATCATAAGTTTGGGAGGGCTCTTTCATGCATTTATTGCTTGTAGTTGTTATTGTCATCAACTTCAGACATGCCATCTTACTGATGGCTGTCTCATGGTCTAGTTTGTCTCACAACACCATATTATCATTGCTTATCATATAGACTGATTGATTAGGCCTACTTCTTTGTGAATGGTTCCAACAAGATTAGAAATGCTAAATGTAGAAATCTCACACCTTTACTCACGTTGATGTAACAATTTTACCAAATGTAACAGTTACTCAATGTGGGCCCACTTGTGGCATTAGTTATTCTGCTTGTACTTCTTGAGGAAATGGGTGCAACACATTTATGAAATACCTTCTATATTTTTCTTGTTTTAGAGCTTGTTTAGTTCGGATTAAGCCCATGTTTGACCCCCATTTTTTAGAAATGAAAATGGGTGGAATAGTGTTTTTTTGAAAAATTTGTGATTGAAAAAGAAGGAAAAATTTTCGATTTACGTGTAATATTATTTTATGAAAGATTGTGTGGTTGAAAATAGGAGAGAGAAAAATGAAATGTAATGTAATGAAATTTAATGGGGGCCAAATGGGGGCTAAAATCTAATTTTAATCTAAATCAAAATCAAAATCAAACAATCAATATTAACGATATCTTTCATAGGTGGTCTCACAACTTTTCAACTACACATTTCAAAAACTTCTATCACAATTTACTAAAAATCTAATTTTAATTCCTACCAAACATTCTCTCAACATGTATAATGTTTTAAGCATCGTAGGAAAATATTTAAAAAGGAGTAAGAAGACATTAAAATGTAAATCCAACAAGAGACTTGTAATTTTAATACAACAATGGTTGTTAGGCATGGTCTACAGATACTTGTTGATATTTAACTTCTGATATACAAGCTCCGTAAATTATTTAGGTTGGGCTGATGGAATTCCCCTCCCTAATATCCAAATCCACGACCCGACTCCATAACCATCAAACCATCACCCAACCACCACCCACCCCTGACGACGCCCGCGACGACAATAATGCGGTGAGCTTGCAGAAATCAAAGCGCCAGGGGCCCCAAACCACTAGCCTCGCGCCACATATACAACCACACACAAGCGGTGTAACGGCCCAATTTTTTAGAAACTCCGAAACGTTACGAAAAACTCATTTTTCTTTATTTTAAGTGCAAAACTATAAAAATAATTTTTTTAATTAAACTAATAACTGCAACATTTATAAATCTAAATTTAAAATATGAAAATTTTATCTAAAAATAACATAAACTCTTAACTAATTCAAATAACACGTTTGGAACAAAATTAAACTAATTGGTAAATTTAAAGACGACAAACTCATTTATTTTTCTTTTCATTTGATCCACTTGGCAACTCGCATCACTGTCCTTCCACAATTCCAATTGATCCGAACTAACCTGTAAAAATTTGTAAGAGTGAATATTCGAAAACACCCAGTAAGATACGTGCAGTTTCCATATACATATATATAACAATAAAAATTTCAATTCATACCATCTAATCTTATGGAGTATATTGGTGACCAAACGATACACCTATCTTAGGTCCTCTTATAATCTCATAGGATTTCATATCTCTTAAAAAAAAACGAATGTCTACTGGCAATCCATGTATTTTTTTATTAGACATAAACGCCTAAGGAAACAAAAACACTTGCACTTAAAGTATCTTAACTTGTTAGAAAAATTTGAAGCACGCTCAAAATCTTTTCTCCGCTTTGAAAAATACGTGATTAAAATATTCAATGTATGCAAACTTTATTTCCAATGCTATCTTCTCTCTCTCTTCCTCTCCTCTCTCTTCCCCCTCTCTCTCTTTACCTACCGTATGTGTGAATTGGTGTGACTAAAACTTTTCATCATGCCTATATATATATATATATATATATATATAGGTGTAGGCTAGAATAAATAAACCAAAATTTGATTTGATAGGGCTAAATCTTGCAACCAATGTCTACTCACAATGTACTTTATTATTATCTTTTTCAACTACAAGATATCCACTATCTCTATCCAACCGTATATGGGTGTATAATGTTGTAACTAGAATAGTAGAATAGTGAAAACATGTGTCATCCTAGGAATCTCTAAATCAAAACTAACAAATAATGATAAAAATACCACCTCACACGTTTTCTTTTTGGAGAGAGAAAAATAAATTGATTTATAATCTATATAAAATTACATTTATACCATTTTCTTTCAATTGGATCTAACTTAATGTATCCTTATCCAAAATAATTTTTTCTCGACTCAAAGACTTCTAATTAATTACGAACTATCCAACAAGTACAATATTGATATATTTGTAATTGCTTTATCAAAATCTAATTTATTTGACCCAGATAAAATAGGAATTTATATAATATACAAAATAAATAAATTTTTATCTATAAAATTTTTGGGTTGCTACAGGGGGCTACCCTAGGTGGAAACCTTAGTACTGCCGCTCGAATCGGTGATGCGATCAGAGGTGCGATTATCTGGGATGGAGCACAAAGACAACGGAGAAAATGGCGAAAGGGAAGGAAATATAGGCAGATGGATGGATTGATATGGGATTTGAACCCAGATTCCTCAACATCCGGCCACTACTTTGATTCCTTTTTTCCTTCTTTATCTTTTTGTAACAGTGGTTTAGGGTTTCGTTTGTATAAAATGAAAATGGATTCCATGTAGTGATACTTAGTGCTACATTAAGTCCAAATTGTAATCAAATCACTCATTTTCTATTTTATAGAATATTTATTAATTTTCATGATTGAAGCTAAACTCCAAAATTCTATTTTATTCGTCTTAATCCCTTATTCAATATTCATTTCCTTCTTTGTTAATAATTTATTTTGGTCTATTCAAAATAACATTTTGGATTAGTAAAAAAATGAAACTTGAAAGACGTATCCGTATACTCGTGTCCAAAATTTGGACTCTTTTTAGTCATATCTCTGTATACTACATTCTAGAAAATAAACGATCTGATACTTAGATGCGTATTCATACCTGATACTTGTACTTGAGTCTTTACTTGGGGAGGATGAAATTAGAGAAGTGGTATTCAGCATGAATGACGATAAGTCCTCAAGACCGACGAATTCCCTTTCTCATTTTATAAGGTTTGTTGGGAAGTGATGTGGTTGGACATTGTGGATGTCTTTACTTATTTCTTTCAGTATGGTAGGTTTTTGAGAAGTTCTAAAACTATATTTATTGTACTGATTTCAAAGAAATCGGGAGCATCGGATATTAAATACTTTCGTCCCATCAGCTTAGTCAATGGATTGTACAAGATTATTGCAAATGTGCTAGCAAATAGATTAAGCGAGTTATTGGGTAAGTGGTCTAAATTTCAGAATGCTTTTGTTAAAGGGCGCCAAATATTGGATTTTATCTCCATTATTGTATGTTATTGTTATGAAGGCTTTCAATAGAATGCTTGAGAAGGCTGTGAGGAGAGTCTGTTAAGGGGCTTTATGATTGACCAATTGCAGGTATCCTATTTGCTATTTGAGATGACACATTGATCATCTGTGATGTAGATGCTGATGCTGATGCTGAGTAATTCAGGAACTTGCGTCATCTGTTTCTATGCTTTGAAGCTGTATTTGGATTAAAAATAAATTTGAGAAAATCTGAGGTTATCACAATGGGAGATGTCAATAATGTGGAGTTGGCGGCCATATTGGGTTGTAGGGTTACGCAGCTGCCTATGTCATAACTTGGACTCCCTTTAGGAGCATGCTTTAAAAGTATACATATTTGTAATAATATTGTGGAAATGGTGGAGAGGAGGTTAACGAGTTGGAAGCTTATGTACTTCTCAAAGGAAAGTCGTGTTACCCTCATTAAGTCCACCCTATCGAATTTTCCTACTTATTTCTTGTCATGGTTTCCCATTCTTGTCTCAGTGGCAAAAAGATTAAAGTGGATTCAAAAGGAGTTTCTATGGGAAGGGTTAGGAGAAGAGAGGAAACTTCACTTGGTTAATTAGGGCGCAGTTTGTTCTCCCATAAGGATGGGTGGCCTTAGATTGAGGAGTTTGGTATTGTTTACTAATGCCTTGCTGGGTAAGTGGTTGTGGCTATTCGGCGTGGAGAATGAGAACTTTTGGATAGAAATTATAAAGGTGAAATATGGTGTTATGGAGGGAGATCGTGCTCAGTTGAGGTTCGTGGTTCTTATTGGGTGAGTTTGTAGAGGTATATTCGATGAGGGTGGAGAAACTTTCGGGATAGATTGATGTTCATGGTGGGGAATGGCAATACTATCAGATTTTGGAAAGATTGTTGGTGTGGAAATTGGTCACTAAGAGTGGGGTTTCCTTCTTTGTATCGTATTGCTTTGATGCCATCTGCAATTGTGAATGAAGTCTTACATATACACAATGAGAATCTCAGTTGGAACATCGCTTTTGGGAATTGCAGGATTGGGTGTTGGATGATTATACGATGCTTCTGACCTCTTTGTATGAGGTGTACATTAGGGTAGGAGAAGGTGATTATAGTATGTGGAGGTCGGCACGGGATGGTATGTTCTCAGTTGACACTTATTTTAGATCCTTATTGGGACCTGTGGAGAGTTCATTCTCCCGAAAAATGGTATGACAATGTAATCCGTCCTCTCAGGTGGCATTTTTACCATGGACGATTGTGAATGTATAGGTGTTAACGGTGGATAAGCTCCTAATAGGGGGTTTTATGTTATAGAGTAGTGTTATATGTGTAGAAGGAATGAGGAGACGATTGACCACTTGTTCCTTTATTGTGACGGTGCTCGTTCCGTGTGAAACGATATTCTGGCTTCTTAACACATGGATTGGGTTTTTTCGCGACGTATGGAGGATGTATTGAAAGTATGGAGGAGAAAATTTCGTAATAAGGATAGCAAACTTGTTTGAGACCTTATTTCAGGATGCATCGTCTCGTGTGAGTGGAGGGAGAGAAACAGCTGCTGTTTTGATGATCATACAAAGACAACAGAGCAGATTAAATTATTATTTTATTTGACATTGTATACTTGGTCTAGGCTGTCCAATTTAATGATGTTTCTTTCTTATATAAATTGATAATTCACTTCCTGTGTATTATTCGTGATTAATAAAATACTTGACTACTTATCAAGGAAAAAAAAAAAAAAAAATTGATACAGCAACTTGCACTTTGTTTTCTACTGATTTTTGCTTGGCATTTCTTCAATTGTAAAATTATCCTTTCTCGATCCTTATTGAGATTTGATTCTTTTTTCTCGCTGGTATGCCCAAATTATTAATGTTCTATCTGTGCCTAAACGTAACTCCTCCGCATTTATAGTTGTTGCCTGGTGGAAGATAGCTGCTATTCATGGATGGCGCTAGATGTATATAACTATACTTGTCATTCTTTTGCAGAATTTTTCAATGTATGACATCACCACCGACTTTCCTTCACAGGATTGGAAAAGAAAGGCATTATTGTTTTTTGTAAATAAAACTTTTATTATGTTCTAAAGGAACAAAATGATTTATTAAATGGGTGACTTCTTGCTAGCTTATATTTCTAGGATATTGATGAGGATGGTCTACTTGACATTAATGGTTGTTTCCAAATTAGAAGTTAAAATTGGCAATTCTGTCCAAAGGTCTGGGAAATTAAACCTGGATTTGTAATAGACTACACCTTATGTTATTACTTTGCCTTTTCTAGTCGTTTGAAATTTTTATGTACTATTATGTTCACGGGGCTTACTTAAATGTTTTAGGATCTGCCTTGCACTTTTATTAAGTGCACGAGTATAATGCAGTTTTATGATTATGTTTGCAGGATTTGGACTTGGATTCACATTATGGTCTCAAGCCAAGGTTATACAAGCATTGGTTGGAAATGTACGATGCATCTAAAGGCAGCGAATTTCATAAATCTAAACAGAGATTGTTTTTCTCCATTTGTAAGTAAAATTAGTCAGGTGTCTAAGTCGCTTAATATTTTAACATCTTGCTTCTCCTTTATATCTTATTTGCAAATTGCTCATAACATGTCAATCATATGCACTTCGATTGTCATGTTACTTTGATCATAAATGTAAGCACCCTGTTGCTTTTAGTTAAAACTTTTATTGGATTGTATGAATAATTTATTTCATTTGTTTTCTTGGAGGAAGGGTAGAGAGTGGTATGCTTCTTGTTGCAACTATAATGGCATAATTATGTTATTATATTGGCTGCAATACATATCTATGGAATGATTTCAATCTTTTACGATTTATGGGATCTTTGTTAATTTCACAGCTCCACTGTAGTATATGTCGTGCTGGTGTCTGTGGTTATCTTGGGACTGTTACTGTCTAACATATTGAAAAGGTCCATTTAACATGTGTGTTAATGGATTGCTGACTGCTAACATTAGAAGGGATAATATATTCTCTCTGTTGTCTAGATAGGATTTTTAAAGCCTGTGAAGGATCTCGTTTTTGGTTCTACCTTAGCTACTCTTGCGAGACAGTGTGATGCAAGTATACAAGATTGAATTTCTCCCATCGATTAACTCAATGTCCAGCGCTGGCTGGAGTTACCCACTGCATTTCAGAAGCATTTAGAAGGATATTCCATGACCTCAAACAACTACCCCAATGTGCTGCATTAACAATTATTGTCTGCATCTCCTTGGTACATGAAATGTCAAATCACATATATTCATCTATTTGTTAAATAATCCTATTCGGCTGAATATTTAGATCTCGTTGGATGCTTTATATAATTGTTGAAAATTAAAATTTGTGATAGGCTTGAATTTAATTCCATTACTTAGTGACTTTGACAATATATATATATATATTTTTGGTCAGTGTTGGTGGTTGTATACTACTATGGATTTTTGACTCTCTTGCTCCTTAGTAATGTCAACCTACAAAATTGGTCTAAATGGTGGAAACTTCTTGCTTCTAGTAGTTGCTCTTTTACTAATTCATGAAGAATGTTCTGTTCTGTTGGGTGTGGATGATGTCAGTCTTCTTTCATATTTTATATGCTTTTCATTTCATCTCTACTTCATTACAATCTTTATAGAACAAGAAAAATGGAGTCAAAGCTTATGATAGCATTGTTTTTGCTGATTGACAATGCTATAGTTGGCAAAGCTCATTTGTGTAAACTTCCCACCTGTCTGTTTTGGAAACTTTCAATCGTATGATTTATGAGAGCACTAATTAATGTTCTCCATTTTTGATGTGTCAACTTTGCCTCACGATTTCTGAACATTTTTGATTTGTTCCACCCGTGTTATTTTGTACTGAAACTGTTAAAAGAGCTTTTACTATTCATGAAAAAATCTTCCAACTGCTCTTATCACTTCTAATTTTATTTTGTTTTGTTTTTGTTTTTGTTTTTTGTTTTGTTTTTGTTTTGCTTTGTTTTGTTTTTTATTTTTTGTTTTTTGGAAGAAAAACTTTGTAGACACTTTTTTAATGCTTCCATTTGAATTATTCATTTCTTCCAGATTCTAGGACCAGTTACGTCCTCTTCACATAACTACTGGTGAGCCGCTTAATTTTGTCTCATATATTGTTTCATGTTTTCTCCAGGCAACAGCTATCAAGATATAATGCACCATAACAAGAAGCCATTTTATCTCAAAGGTCAGGAAGAAGATTCAAGTATCATGGATGCTTACCTAGTGCATTCTGTATGTATATGTCCTTTCTTTGTTATTTTTTGATTAATACGTTTTACATGTATCTGCCTAGTAGTAGGCATTGTGTTACACCTTTTCTTTCTTGGTTAGTTGCTCTAGTTGCTACAATTTTCTCAACTGCCATCCCCTTGTATCTTTAACAAAATAATATTATGTTTTGCAGGTGAATCATATTCTCAAAAGTAAAGATCTCATGACAAAAAATGAAAGGAAACTGGCTAAGAATCAAGATATTGTGGAGGATAAAATTCTTAACGGCAGTGCTTATCTCGACCGTGGGTTTACTCGTCCTAAGGTATTTTAGTACATTATAGGGTGCATTTATGAGTTAAATTGCCTCTTCTCCCCTTTGCTGATTAAAATTTGTATTTTTCATATATTTTTGTGCTAGCATACTTCGTGCCCGAGTGATAAATACTTACTTGTTGTCAAAGCTTTCAACAACATTGATTTCATAGCTAAAGGTCATTGATGGTAGTCAGAATTTATAATTTAGAGAAATAAAGAGAGAGGGTATGGGTTTGAGCTATGTCATATATATGAATAATTTGTCTATTGGACTATGTAGTATACAGTTCCCAAATTTTAAGTGCAGTTGTTTGAGTTCTTTCAATACAGAACTTAATTTTGAAGTTTTTATACTAAATTTTATTATTATTATTATTTTTTGAGATAGTTGTTTTCTCATGTATTCATCATTGTACATATACTTTTGAATTATGGAGGAAGGTTTATGTGCGATTATCCTTTGTGTGGGATCACCATAGTTAATGTTATTGTACCCGAGTTCATAATTTTGACTTGAGATGCAATATGTTAAAGGATTTTCCGAATATGTCATATCACAATTTATCGTGATGTGCTCCCGAGTTACATTTTCTTGATAGAGCACTATAGTGTTTTATGTACATGACTACATAATTTACATCTATTGATTTGGTTGTTGATTGGCCTGCAATTGCGTGATTAATATTTGGCCATATGTCCAGTGTGTCAATTGTTTGGAGGCTTCTTGCATTACTTTCTGTGTTGTCCTAGTACTATAGATCTGATGAATTTTTTTCCTAGTTCTCATACCTTCCACTTGGATACCTGTTCTACAATTTCCCATTTGACATGCCTTGGCTCATTGCTCTTATTTGTTTTAGGTTTTGGTTCTTTTGCCTTTAGCAGGCATTGCACGACGGATTATTACGAGGTTGATCCAGTTGACTCCTTCCAAGAACAAGGTACTTTTGTGCTTGCATTATGCCATGAATAACTAAGAGATCGAAAATACATTTTAGTCCTGAGCTAAACATGAATTCTGATGCTAAGATTGCTTTTTGTATCGATACTTAAATCTTGGTTGTGTATATATAAATATTAATTTGATGATTCATCATTGGAATTGTTATTGCAGTCTCATTGACTAATTACTCAAAGTAACTTTTAACTTTGCATGTATGGCGGGTTTACTTGTTGCACAAGAGGAAAGAGAGACGAGATTCAGTGTGAACAGTGTAGCTCAAATTGTCATTAAAAGTGTGTAGATGCAGCACATTTAACATTTCTCAACTAATCTACCAATTGTTGATCCTATTATGTTCACAAATTGGCTACTCATGTTTATACCTTGAAATGCTGTTGTATTGCCATTTCATTTGTCAAAATTATGCTCGTCTTCGAATTCAAAATTTATTGTTCTTAGCCACTGCTATGTATTTCATCGACTATTTCCAGTCTCAATGGTAAAATGAATATTCTAAGTTGAGGTGGTTGTCACGTCAAGTAATCTGAAATGGTTGTGGATTGGTCACAGTACGATGCAGTGGAGTTTTCAATTGGTGGTAAGTATGAAGATTGGCAGATTGCTAGGGTTTCAATGACCCAAGAAACTCTTTTCTAGAGTTCATGTTTGTGACCTGAACTACCATGCCGATGGGTAAAGGTTACGAGTTGTTTAAATAAGTTACAAATTGGGCTAAAATTTGGGATAATTCTTAGGGATCTATTGGAGTATAACAAAGAGAGCATTGAGACTAGTACAATATTCATCGAATAGTGGGGTTAGAAGAGTGACAAGAGAAAGTACAGACTGGTACTGAATTCATGAGTATTGGGGTTAGAAGAGTGACAAAGAATGATAGAAAGAGGACTGGGTTTGGTGCTTTGATCTCTCATAATATTTGATCATTGAGTGTAATCTCATTATGAAACAATTAAAGTTAGATGAGGAAACCGAAAATGGTCCAGTTTAGCAGGAGATATTTGACTTCGGAGTTGTATAGCCCTTTTATTTGGTTTTTTTTGTCATAGATTCTTTATTATTATTTTCTTCTATTTTTGCGGATATGCTTTTGTATATGGGGTGTGCCTTCTTTAGTGCCCCATTATTATATTGTTGACTCGGAAATAATATGTCAATGTTATTTTGTTCATGTCCGCGAATGCAAGTTTTCTCATAGTTGGATTAACCCTTGTGATTTAGTTTGAAGGCAAGATCCACATTTATTTCTTTCTCCTTGTGTCTTGTAGTAGGACAACGTAATATAATTATCACTTAGTGCTGCTTGTTAAGACGAGCTCGTTTTGAATGGATGTTTTGTGAAAGGTGCAGTGCGATATTTATTGAAAGAGTTATTAGTTGGCTTGGAAAATGGGGGCAATGTTATGTGGAAAGCTGTGTTGTGTCTATTGTTTTAGTTTAGATACAAAAGCTTGTCTTTTTATTACTTATATATCTTAGGAGATCAAGTCCCTTTATTTTCGTTATTGGTTGGAAGAATGTGATTATTCTTAGTTTTAATCTAAACTTGTTTAGCTTTTAAGAGGACTTTTGTTCTCTCAATGCATCTTGATATCATGATTAATAAAGTTATTTTTTAATTTGGGAGGCTCATTACTTCGATTAGACCCCATGCTCCTTGAATGGATCTCTCAGTTGTTGGGAAGGTTGCCCAAAAGCTATGTAAGGCGTGTTTTGTAAAATTGACAAGTAAACCAGATATAAAGATGGTGACTAGAGTTGCTGTTTCCATTTATGATTATATAACTTCAAGATCCCAATGGATCTATGATAAGATCGTTATTTACAATGGAATGGTATATATAATTAACAGCCTCAGTGAATACAATAGGATTTATGGTTCTAAACAAAATGTTGAGAACAATCGTAGATCTGGTGCGAGACGAACTGCAATAGGGAGTTTATTAAAACCAATTCTTATTGAAAACAAAACAAGAACTTGAAGTTTGGGAATGCAAGACATTGAGTCGTTGCATGCCGAGTTTATCAATTCTTTCGGTTATACTCCATGTCTTATGCTTGGTGTTTATCTAGCTATCTTGTCTAGATAACTGGTTTTTGAGACTCATCCTGTTGCCTTTTAAGTGGGAGAGAACATAATATAGATTTCAGAGAGAATTTATTTTGTGCTTTTTGTTAGGCTGATGTGGAAAACATTGGACGCTTTAATGAGGAGTATGGTTCTGGAAGCACTGAAGACCAGTATGAAGAGGATGACTTAGAAATATCTAAATCTAAGAAGTCCACAAAACCTTCTGACTTCCAAGCATTGCTCGGTCGAGATAATAACAATGATCACTTCATGATAGGCATAAAGTTTACCAAGAAGTAAGATTCTAGACATTTACTTTATTCCATCTGGAATTTTTTTCTTGGATGCTGTCTGATGTGTGAAAGCTGAAATTCTTTATCATAATACTTCTTTTCTATTATTTCATATTTTGCAATATTCTTAGCCTATAATTTTTACACATGGAAAAAGATGTGTTCTTCAAACTTGTTTTTCTATTGCGCGTTTTTAGTTAATATTTCTGAAGTAGAGGTCGGCTGTGATATTTATGGAAAGAATTGCAGACATTCTTCTAAATCTAAGAGTTACATCTTGTATTACTATTTTGCCTGTGTCCTACTTACGAATTTCTCTGCATTTGTTTTCATTTGTTTCTAGGAGTATGAGGTTGTATAGCGATTTCTATAGTTCAGATATGATTGTTGCTTCTCCCCTTGGTTTGTACACTGTAAGTCTTTATCCTGTTATGTACTGTCCGTTATAAATTTTTTGCTTGGTCTCTTTAACCAAGTATGATTCTATTGGAAAGTGTGGAGGGATGCAGCAAAGTTAAAAAATGTACAATTATAAAGTAAGGGTCATGTGTAGCTTTTAGGTGTTTTACGGTGATTATGCGCTTCCCTCTCTTTCCACTTTTCTGGTTCAGTTGTCCACAAACGATTTCTACATAGTTCAGTGATGATCTTATTCTCCAGTTCTCATGATTCTCTGTTTCTTTTTCTATCCACGTCGTCTTTCTTAGAAAACATTAGTTGGAATGTTAAAGATATGAATGTATTTAAAGTGCCATTATTATCTTTGGGATGAACCTTGAGAACATATTCAATGGATTATTGAACAACTTTGCTGTTGAGAAGAATAGGTTTGTTTCTCTCCTCATGCATGTTAACTTAAATGTGTACTGACTGCTTCTTGTTCAATTATTTTGTGTCAGAAAATTGGGAAGGCTGAAGATGGAAAGGAAGAAGATGTTGATTATCTTTCTTCTATTGAGGTTAGCATAATATATTGATTCCAAATACGTATGACTTTTATCATTTTCATTCTTATTAGGCAAGTGTTTATCTTGTGTCAATTAAATTAAAGAGTTTATTTGTCACAGATCTTAATCATTGACCACGCGGATGTCATGATGATGCAGGTAAGTAGATTATTAATGCGTTTAAAGTCTTAATGATCTGTTTATTTCATTGAATCACATTGACACTGTTATCATTTCTTTCCTATAATATTTGTGTAGAATTGGTCCCATGTGAAGACTGTTGTTGAACATTTGAACCAAATACCGTCTAAGCAGCATGGAACTGACATTATGCGCATAAGGCCGTGGTATGCTTCTTATTTTTTTGGTCTCTGTAATTGATTTTTTATTCCTTGGGTGACCTCTTAATAGATATTTTTCCTGTTGCCTTCAATTATTTTAATCCTTAGGTATCTAGATGGGCAAGCACGCTACTATCGGCAAACAATAATTTTAGGTTCTCACTTGAACCCAGGTAATGGAATTCACAACATTGGTTTCAATATTTGGTGGTGGTTTTGCTGCAATAATGGATCATCACATACCCCCCCCCCAATTTTGTTTATTATTTTCCTCAATCTACCATGCCAACTTACGTAGTAGTACGTATAGCTCTACTGTCCAGGTCTATCCTTTTCCATTTCTCTTTTGCATTGCACTTACAATTGTTTCTCTGCATCCATTTCTTTATTTTTTTGCAGACATCAATACACTGTTTAATCAGCAATGCTTTAACTACCAAGGAAAGGTTTGCCATTTTCTTCATATTGTATTTTATGTCACCGCTGTGTATGTACTAAGGTTAGACTGATTCGGTTGCCTCTGTGTTCAAAAGATTGTTACACTAACTATTTCTGCACGTTTTTCCTGTCTTTAAATTATTTCGGCTCTGTAGACACTAAGCACATACAATATTTAAGTTTTTCCATTCCCACTTTTGGTGTGCTTGTCTTCTACTTTTAATAAGGTTCTGCAGAGTTGCATAAAGGCAGGAAACTATTTTGCCAAAATATATGGTTGCTGATATTTTTCATAGTTCTGTTACCGAGATGGTTTCCCTTTTGGATATTAGTTATTTTTCTGCTGTTTGTTGGACAACAGAAGGTACTAGTATAAAGATTTGTATTTGCAGGTAAAATTGGAATGCAGTTATAAAGGTGTTCTCCCAAAAATTATGCTTCAAGTACGGCAGGTGTGTCCATTCATATAATCCTTATCCTAATAAAGCATTGTAATAACTACGATTGTTGTAATGAGTATGACTTCTGAAGCTTATTAATTATAGCATTTAAGAACACTTATATTGACTTACAAATTCCTTGGATCTGTTAGATTGTGTGAGAAAATAATTGTATTCATTGACTACTTTCAACGTTATTTTCTTATCTTGACAATACAAAAAGAGAATTCAATATGTTAATTTATAACATTTTAGAAAGAAAGATCTCAGTTGAATACTTTCTATCCAATGATTAACATTATCATAAGTATACTTGCATTTTTGTTCCTTCTAATCATCTTGCTATCATTATGTTGATATTTTTAATATTAAGTTTCTTATATGGGCCCTTGTCAATCAGTCCGGTGGCCAAACTCCCCTTTTTACCTTTCGTCTATCTAATTGCAAGGGCATCATGGTGACTAACAACAAATTATTTAATTGTCAAACTTAAGCGTGTTAGTTCCATGGTGTAGTTTTTCACAAATGAAATTTAGGTTTTGGAAATACTTCGAGGCATGCAATGAAGTCATTCTTGAAAATCATACTAGTTACTCTAGGTTATTTATAAGTCACAACCACACTAATAATGATACACTATCTGCTTAGCTTGAATTATAAAGCGTTATCGTGTCCACATGATCCGAAAATATAGAGGCTTTATGCTTAGTTATTTTGCTATTTAATGTGTCGGATCGTGGATCATAGGGTGCGGAATTTTGGTTGATTTTTAAAAGTTCTGTATTTGTATATTGAAGTTTACACAAAAATGTATATAAGACAGTAGAATCCATATGAAAATCATGCATTTAAATAATTTAGAATTTCTAAAACTCGTAACCTTCTTACAGTATGTAGAGATTGGTTGGTTCTTCTTACGCTTATCCTTAACTTTAAGTTTGCTCATGTTTGTGTTATTTTTTCTTTCAATTGTTACAGATTTATGAGCGTTTTGATACAAAGTCAATATTGGAGGCTGATGATGATCGACTTGAATATTTTGCTAAAAAGGTTTCTTCTTATATTTACCTTCTTGTTATAATTTTATATATATGGTTGAATCTCAACCATTACGTTGTCCATGATGAAGCCAAGATTGTTAGGAGTTCCTGTGCCAGTAGAATCTTTTCCAATTTGACCTACACGAGTTCATAGTTGAATTCTGAAGAGGCCTTCAGGGTTAATTTTTTAGTAGTAGATTGCTCTGCCTGATTAATGAAGTGAATGCGTTAAAAAGAAATTGCTATTGGCTCGACTTTCTTATGTTGCCGGCTTTATATTGTAACATAGGTGGTTCCAATTCAAGGAGGGTGATTGTTTGAGCTAGAGTGACATGAAAGTAGACCTTGACGACAATAGTGAAAATGATGATGGAATTTGGAAGAGAGGATCTATTTAGCTACATGATAAATATGGGCTTTGTTGAATTTGACCGTAATGTTTTAGATTTTTGTGTTTCCATACCTACCCGCTTGCATCATACATACTTTTAGGTATGGGCGTTGGTTGGGTTGGTCCGGATATTTCAATACTAGATAATTCGGGTATTTTACAAATAAAACCATTTGGGTCCTTGTAATTAAAGAAACCAAATCCAAACCCAAATCGCCGGTTTCGATTTGGGTTCGTTTCTACCCATAACATTTTTTTTACATGCATTCAATAAATATTTCTATATAGGCCCTTTCGATATATATACATAACACGCTACTGCTTGACAATATTCGTGTAAGAGAGAAGTTAAGAAATCCAACTACATGACACAATAGTGTAGATATAAATCACGAATAAACATAAAAAAATAAATTACAGCTTGAGAAGAATTAATTTTTTCTTAATAAATTTTATTTGATCCAAAAATGAGATATTCTAGAACCTATAATTTAATTATGTATCATGCTTAAATTCTTCTTTTAAAATGAACTTAGGTAAGAAAAAAAATACTAATTAGATACATAATTATATAATATTAAGAAATTGCGGCTGACGTATTTGAACTCGCTCTGTTTGAGTAAAGAAGGAAAAATTATATTTCAAAAGAGAATCATGAACTCGATAAAAGGTACACCATAGCTCAAGCTATGAATATATCAAGTTCAATTATCATGCGTTATAAAAAGAATTAAAAAATAAAGTTTGTAAAAAATATAAGAAAATAAAAGGCTCTAATTACAAAGAACGAACGCTTTGATTCATCAACTTACATCACAACCTTAGCTTGAATTTCTTGATTCATTGAATGTCCAAATTGTAAATATTAACTTGTATTAATGCAACAACATGATGTGGGGCGAGAGGCAAATAGTAGGAGTTAGTCATGATTTTTAAGGTTGTCTAGAGTTTTAAACAATTTACTACCAAATTAGAGTTTTGAGGTTTTATAATTTTTTTATCGAGCCTATAAATTGTAAAAATAAAAAATTATATAAAAATTGGTTCCATTCGAGTACCTACCGTTCTAGTTCAGGAGCCAAGAACCTACTCAGAACCGGTTGGTTGTTGGTTCTCGGTTCTGGTTATTAATTAATTAATTTTTCTCCCCCGGAAACTGGACTGGAACCTTCGAAGGTTCAGGATCAGTTAAAATGCCCAGGCCTACTTTTCGTTGATGATGTTCAAACACGGTAGACTGAAATTTTGTTTGTGCAGGTGTTTCCCAAGATAAAAGATTCTGTCCAGGTAATATGAGGCTTTATAAATAAATTGTTGAATTATATAATTATTGGACAGACTAATGTTGAACCTTCGATGCTATCATCCTATGCAGCCTGGGGTTATGATATTCATTAGTTCGTACTTCGAGTTCGTTCGACTTCGAAATTTTTTGAAGTCACAGGGTGCATCCGTCTGCTTGTTTGGAGAGTAAGAAATATTTTTTCATTTTTTCTAATTTTCTGTTTTAGCTTTAGTAAATTAAACAATGTCTTCTTTGGTCTGTCCGATAATATGTAAGAGGTGTTAGTAACTATTTATACGGTTTTAAGTGTTTTCGTTCATTCATTCGTTATTATTATGTATAGGTACACTAAACAGAAGGATATATCCAGTGTACGAGGCCAGTTTTTTAGGGGAGAAAAGAAAATCATTCTTTATACTGAGAGAGCTCACTTCTATTATAGATATAAGGTTCTCTTTTTCCAATCTTCTTTGTAGTCTTGTTTTCTGCTATATGTTAGTACTTTCACCATCCCTTTTTCTCCGCTGTAAATAAATAGCAATCCTCATGCATATCATTGTTGTTGGTTACTTTCTGATTCTTTTAGTTATTGAACTCTATGAAATTCATTGTATATAACAACTCTGCAAGTATGCAAAAGCATGAAACTAAAAATTCATTGCTGATACAATTCCTTAATACATGAACTAAATGCAGTTGAATGGACACAACCAAAAGGGCTTTGGTGGTGTGTCTCTCTTTTCAAGAGCAGATCCTAGAATATGGATTGAAATCAGATTATGATCATTATTGTGAGATCATATGGTTATCAAGAAATTCATGACTTGTGTGACAATTTGTCATTTTTACGAGTCAGAATTTTATTCTTAGCTCTTGCACAAATTTATCAGGGTGACAAAGCCAAGTGACATTAAGTCGATAGGCCAAACTTGGCTTTGTGTGCTCTGGGATGTCTTATTCCATGATTTTTTGCTTTAGCACTTTTGCAGTGCTATTATTTATTCTCTCAACCCAGAAAGACTAATAATGTGCATGTTAGTGCGCTTATCACAATGAAAAATCATACGGTCATTGAACCTTGACATGGATGCTCTTGCTTATGATGCAGCATGTCCGTGAACTACCATGTGGTAATTTTTGCACAAATTATTTACTCATTCTATGAGGTTGAGTACCTAATTAAGAAGAAAAATAGAATTGATATCTTAGGTGGTGAAATTCAATTATCCTTGGATGATGAACACATTACTACTCAGCAGCTACTAGATTTACAGTGATGCCAGACTTGATCGTTCACGAAAATGTTTAATTCAGAACATTTTTATGGAAATCATTGCATTAAGTCCTCTTGGTATCGACGGCATGAATTTGTTTCACTAAATTCAGTGTTATTTTTGTATGTGCTCTCAATGAAATGCTCTTGAAGGTGGTATTCCTTTTTTCTTTTTTGTGATTTGGGTTTCTTGGGACAGGTATTGAAAGTGTGCTGCATTGTGTATTTATTTTGTTTATTACTCTTTACAATCTTTTGCATGTTTCCACACGTGTAAATATGTACACAAAAAAGAGAATTTCTGACTCTGGCCTTATGTTCAGATTCGCGGTGTTCAGAATTTAATTATCTACTCCCTTCCAGAGAGGAAAGAATTTTACCCAGAGGTGGAAGTGATGTCTTTGGACCTCTGTTTTTAACAATCAATAATGATTTTTGGGATTTACGAGTAGTTTTATTCTAAATATTTTCTTGCTATTTCTTTGCAGATTGTTAGTTTTCTGGAAGAGTCTGATAACATGAACTGCACTGTCTTATTTTCTCGTCTCGACTATCTTCGGGTAATTCTCCTGTCCTCCAATTTGGAAGATTTGATCTATCGTTTTACTTGTTTAGTGCACTCCAATCTATCTTCTTGTCTGGACTATTTTCTTGCTTATTCCACTCTAACCTAATATGGTGCATCTTTTAGTGGAATCACACAATTTTAATTTAATGATTTCGTGACATTTAGCTTGAGAGAATTGTTGGTTCTGCTGCTGCAAAAAGGATGGTCAGCTCAGAGAAAGGCATATTTGTTTTCGCTTAGACTTTCTACAAGCTGAAGTTTATTTATCGAGGAGCTCGGTTTCTGGTGGACTTGCCACTGCGTTTAATGGCAATGAACATTGGACACAAGCTTTCTTTCTTAAGAAGCTGCAAGCTCTCACCATCATCACTAGTTGAAGGTGCATATATGTTATAAGAGCATGCTTCTGAATTTTGGAGTATACACTAATTGCTAAAACTTCTCTGTAACTTAAAAAGGAAATCAAATATGATAGCCTCCTTGGCAATTTTGTGTGAATAATTCTTAAATGCTATGCTTTTGAAGACTTGAGCAGGATTAATTCTTTTAGATTATCCCAACTTTTACAGGAGCTGTAAGAAATCTATTGATGGATGTTGATACTAATTTTATAATAGTAAAAAGCTTGTTTGTAACATTTAATTATCTACATTATGATGTGAGTAGGAGTTAAATCACGTTTGGGGGGCCAGGGTGGAGGGGTGCGGGGGTGTGTTCGTGACAAAGGGAGAAAATCTATAATAAAAGTTTAAAGTTCAATTTCCATGCAGAGGTTTAAAAAATTTGTTTAGTTTGCAAGTACAAGATTTCACATTAAGCCCTTGTTTGGACTTCATTAAAATCAAATTTTGGAGAAAAATGCATTTGAAATGATGATTTTTTGAAGAATATGTGGTTAAAAAACAAGGAAAAGTTTTGAATTTTTGTATAATATTTTTTTTATTGGAAAATGTGTAGTTAAAAAGAAGGAAAAAAAATGCATTGTGAACAAAGTGGAGCTCAAACATTGGAAACGTCCTGAGCTTCTAGCCATCTCCAAAGGTTTCCACACAATTTGGTGTAAAATTATTCTCAATTGTTTTATACCGAACTTTATTTCACAAATTATATTATTAAAAATTTGTAAAATAGAAATTACGTCAAATAAAATAAAATATTGCATTTATTAATAAATTGAAAAGAAGAAGAAGAAGAAAATACTAAACATAATGCTGTCAATTATAAAACTTACAAGAAACGCAGAAGGAAAATCACATATATATGTTGTTCTAATGCTAATTTATTAATTATCAAATTTGTGAGTTTTGACTTTTTAATGAACAATTTAAATTTATTGTCGAAATAATTATTACTTATTAATTGATTAGAATTTAAAGATAAATATTAAATAAAAATAACTATTATATTAAAATAATTATGAATCAAATAAAATCTATTAATACTAAAATATTAAAAATGGACATAGAATAAAATAAAATCTATTAATACTAAAATATTAAAAATGGACATAGAAGGAAGAAACATTTTTTGTAAAGTGTAACCAAGGACAAAATTGGGTTATAAATAAAAATTCTTATATTTGGTGTAAATGAATATTGCACACCAATATGGTGTAACACGATTCAAAACACTATCTTTTGCATTTTATTTAAGGTACTATTTGAGGAGTTTTTACACTAAATTTGATGTTTTACATCAAATATAACCTTCCGTTGGTAGGGATGTCAAGCAAATCGAGCAGTTTGTTGGCTTGGTCACCCAACTCGTAGAAAATGAGCTTGTGGACAGCTTAGGCTCGTGGGTGGCAAGCTACGAGGTTGTGGCTCACCACTACAGTCCGTTTTGGTCACTGTATATAAGTTCAGTGATGATTTGCAAACTGTTACTAAATATATAAAAATGGCTATTCTGATAATTTTTTTCCTCATATATTACTCTATAAATGCCCTAATCTAATTTCAAATTTCTTCACACACCAACAATTCTCACTTTACTCCACATTCCACAATCTACTACATTCATTTCTAGCTTCAATTTCAATTATTCAATAATTTAATATCAATTATCACACTACAAATTTACAATTAAAGTCTTATATATAAAACTTTCTTTGAATTCTAAATTTCTTTCCATACTCTTTATTTACTCGTTTAGTTATTTAGTAGGTACTATACAGTCTACTATACAATTACAATACATATTTTATACATTTCATCACAATTTACAAATGGTTCTACACTCATTTGTTGATGGCTTATCACATATGATGCCGTAAAGTTAATTTCAGAATGAATTTATTGGTCCCAACGAAATACCCATTTCCGAAAATATTACAAATTTGAAAGTTCATAGAAGTATTAATCCAATTGATTTGAATATGTTGATGTTTTCGAATCAGAACATAATGGATTAGATATTCTCGATGCAATAGGGAAGTCGAAGGAAAAATATAGGCAAAATGTTAGGATTACGTTAAATTGATTCCAACGGGTCGTGTGATCGATGGAGTCATAGAGTCTAAAACAGTATGTAAATACTGTCAATAATGATTGGAATAACAAAAGGGCATTGGTACCACCCATTTCAACCGTTACTAGTGCGGCCAAACATGGGATCCTTGGTGTCTCCTAAACGCAAGTGTAATTTTGTAGTCCTACCGTCAATTCTACATCTACGACACTTTGCACGTGGACATATTCGGAGGAGAAAACTCGAATGGGAATGGTGAAGTTCTTTGTAGGTGTTGAGTTACCTCTAGCAACAACGGACAACCAGCATTTTGTCACCTACGTAAAATAGTACATTTAACCGAGGTACATTGGGGTAAGTAGAAACATTGTTGGTTCTGATACAATTAATTATTCACTAACAAAGAAACAATTGATTATCAATTTTCAAAAATATTGGGGTGTTATATCTTTAATTTCGGATTTATGGGAATTGATTAATAAAAGAGGTTATATAGCTGCAACTGTACACTACATAAACTCACTTTGGTGTATGCATAAAATATTATTGCTTTTAAAATTCCCTAGTTCCCTCACAATGCTAACAATATATTTATCGCTATTATGAAAATTGTGCAAAATGAGTTGAAGTATATTAAGAATGAAATTCAAAGAATTAGGGATGCACTAATATATATATCATGATTTTACCTAGTAGAAAACAATCTTTTGAGAAATTTTTGTTGAATTTGGAATGACGGATATGAAAAAAATTGTTAGTGACGTAAAACATAGATGAAAATCTACTTGAATGTTTAATAATTGAATTTTATAACAATAGGCACATTAGAATCGATGATGATACTATTTTGAATGAATCTGATTGGCTTTTTACTTTTAAAATTAAATAATTTTGACTAGATTTTATGACTATAAATATTTTATCTGGAGTGTACTATCTCACTAGTTGTATGGTACTTGAACGTCTTTATATAGTTGCAATGGCTTTTCATAACATACAAAAATGACCTCTATTTTAGTGAAATTATATATTTTGTGGAATTATAGTTTAGAAAATATTAGGAAGACTTACCTATGTTTTTTCTTTTAGCATGCATTATGGACCACCGATACAATTTATCAGGTACTAAATATATAATTAATCAGATTTCAAAAACTTTAAATTTTAATGCCTGTCACTTATAAAAATTTAGAATAAACTTTTTGTGAAATGTATGTATTACATGCAAAACGAATGGGTGCAAATATTATTTGGGTACCTTTTGCACCTACTCCTCCTGCTGATATTGAAGAAAATGATGTTAAAATATTAAATTTATTTGAAAGCATTAATACATATAGATAAGATGCAATAGGCTCTTCTAGTAATAGTATGTTTACTGCATATAATTAGGCATCGGTCCAAATATATTACCTGCTGAATTACTTAATTACTTTAATCATAATATGCCTTATAATAAATCAATTAAAAAGAGTTTTAGAAGAAGTTAGGGTCCGTTTGATTGCGAAGATGGAATTTGGGTGGAAAGAAAATGAATTCCAAGGAATTGAATTACCTAAAAATTATTTTCCTGTGAATTGTAAATTATTGTGTTTGATTTGTATAAATTTTCACGTGAAATTCGTTGAAATAAAAGTATTTTTTGGTATTCGTTTGACTTTTGTTTTACATGAAAATTGTCAATAAAGTGATAGATTTTATTGGTATTGGGGATGAAATTTGTTTCCATTGCCAAAAATTTTTTTTTAAAGAAAATCGTCTATCTTTTGGTGTTTGTTTGGCTTTATTTTACATAGAAATTATCAATTAAATGGAATTTCTTTTTTACAGTCATTCTTAAAATTTGTTTCCATTAACAGAAAAAATAAAAAAATAAAATAAAATGTTACAGTACTGAGAATTAGAATTCTCACCATATATTGGTGAGAAATCCAATTCAAGGAAAAGGTGGAATTCGGCTGAGGTGGCAAGAAAGTTGGAAATTGAATTCTAGGGAAAAAATGGTATCAAACAATGCAAAAGTGGAAGTTGAAAAATCAATTCCTAGTTCCATGGAAAAACATGGTTAATCAAATAGGGCCTAATTGAATGCTGCAGCAAGTACAAACGACGATTGCCAAGTACAAACGACGATTGCAGTGGTTTATGTGATTGTAAAAGACCTACTATTACTTTCGTTCAGCATTATAGCTTCGGAGTTTGCTTTTAATGCAGGTAAGAGGGTTTTGTTCGAGGGCAGGATCCTACTGAAAGAAGATATTTTCGAAGCATTAATATTTGTGTAGCATTGGCAATACGCTCATTTTTTGGTTGCAAGATAAATATGTTGAAATTGTATGTTGTCAAGTAAGTGATATATAATTTAACCATATTAATAAAATTTGTTATTTTATAATACTGTTATTAATTTTTATAAAAGATTGTACACGTAACAAGTTGTTTGTGTACCTGCATACTTGAAATTTAAGTATTCTAAAAGAAAAAGAAAGAAAAAAGATGAGCTCGCGAGCAGAGCTTGGCCCTTAAGGAACAAGCCGAGCACGCCCAGTTTGGCTCGACTCATTGCCACCTCTACCCATTGGAGATGCCCTAAAAGTTTGCAAAGTTAACAATCGGATTTATAATGTGGGATCGGAGTAAAGGCTCAAATTTCTATGGGCTTATTTGAAATTTATTTTGCGTAAAAACCTTATTTGAGAAAATTATCTTTTATTTGAGGATGCATCAATCTCCATTTGATGGTCAACCACTCATTCTCTTAATAAAATAATTTTGTACGTAAACTCATATTTTTTCTTACTTTTTAACCACATATTCTTTCAAAAATCACTATTATAAAACTCATTTTAATAACAAAATGGGGCAAGATGCTTGACTTATTTTTATAAATTATGAGAATTTCATAGGAGCATTAAAACTTAAAACTTTTAATCATAATTCATGAAATGTGTTCAATTTATTTCACGTTCAAATCATTGAGTGCCTTAATAATTTGCTTATTTATGTGAAAAATGACTTGGCCATGATGTGATAGGAATGGCTATACTAAAACGAATTTACGAGTCTTGGCAAGCTTTGGACATTAGCTAGCCGTAAAAGAAGCATTATGACTTAAAGATTTGTTAAATGAAATAAATTAACCGTCTCATCCTGTAGTAATTTATTC